GGACAACTTGTTATACAGAGATTAAAAGCAATTAGCCATGTCTGGGAGAAGAAGTCGTCAAAATTACATAAAGAAAACTGTTCAACAACTTTCTGAAGAAGGGTCATTGGACCTCAAATGTTGACTCTGATTTCTCTCCACAAATGCTGCCAGACCTGCTGAGATTTTCCAGAAATTTGTGTTTTTATTTTAGATTTCCAACATCCGCAATTTCTTGTTTTTTATCTGTTTTAACAACAGCTTGTTAACTGGCTGCCTTATACCACAAGGACAAATGATTGCCCTGCAGAAGAATTTAAGGAGTTAACGACAGGACAGGCTGCATTTTAAACAGACTTCTAACACCAAATGTGACTAGAAACAGGAAGCTACTTCTGATAAGAAAGCAAGATGCAGACTTGACAGCTTCAGAGGTGTACTAAATATTTTTGATGAAAGAATCTGAAGGATCATCAATAATTACACACCACAAACTTGAAAGAGAGAAAACTGTATAAGATTTTCACTTCCAATTCACTGTATATTACTTCCCAGCATACATGGCTGGAGATTCGGCCCTTTAATGTGTAAAATTGTAAGATGATGCATAGTGGAACATGAATATTGATGTGTTTGCACTCAACAGATGGGCATCCATTGAAAAATGTGGAAACGACAGATTGGGTGTGCTAATTGGCCGTTTGCTGAGAATCTCATTATGGGAAGAGGTGACTTGAAAGAATGTTTAATTAATTTTTTTTAAATGTTCAAATGACAAAGATCATGCAGTATAGCTGTTTATCAAATTAAACTGTGACCACAATACTTCATTGAAGATGTGACTGGAATGAGGGGACTTTGTTACCTAATTTATGATTACCATCAAAAGCAAATTTATTTTTAAAAATTGATTGAATGTCTTTTTAATGAAGGACTGAAAGCTTTAAATCTATTTATTGAGACATCAGTGATTCAACAATATATGAAATGCTATGCTTGTAGTTCTGGTGGAATTGTGAGATTATCTATGGTTGGACAATTTCAGTTGTAATATTGTTTCAATTTAGAGCACTTCTGCATAGATTCAGACTGAAGCAAGAAAATGTTTTTAAATGTTTCCTTTTAGTAGTTTTACTTGTATAATTTGCCTCATTGCAGAAGCTTAAGTGAGTTGAGGAGAAGGTACAGACTGAAGAAAACTAACAGTTGATCTTTTGTAGTACAGAACTTGAATATTGCTGAAAAATATACATTTTGTCAAAGCTTTTCGTCTTACACTCATTAGGACATTTGCAAGAAATGCCAAGTTAGTGGGAACAACATTTGTATATTGCATGAGAAGACCATGTTGATTTGTTGACAAGTGGACTGTGCTTGCTGGAGATACTGCCAGAGGGATGATGACTGACAGTTAATTGCCAAGCTTTATTTAAATTCAAATCTGGGCAGGTTGATGCTAATTTGTTTAATGAACCAGAGAATGGTTGTCACCTATTTTGCTCAGTTGAAGCAGGCACAGTGTGTATGCATGTTTTCTCTGTCTGCAAAGAATTGGGTCTCTTGTTTTAATATATGTAACCTTCAGCACACACAAGTACACCATGCTGTGAACCAACTTTCAGACTTAAACTGGTTGTCAGCATAATTCTTAGTACAGTTGTGATTAGTGAGCAAATGTTGTGTAATTATAGAATCACATCTAACGAGGGACATTGTTTTGAGTTTTGCAAGGTGCTCATTAAGTATGGTCATTACCTTTCCTGTTGGGGACTGTTGAAGGAACAATGCTATTTGATATGCTGTGCTGGCCTTTGCAACATATGGCCTACCTACCAGCATGGACATTTCTATATCACCTTACTCATTTGTGTGGTAGGCAGATGTCTTTTTGAGTTGATGGTAGCATCCTGTTAGTGTTAAGTACTACTTCTGTTGCTACAGCATATTCCTTTGACTATTCACGATAGGCAAGGTGGCATAGGGCAGTTGGCCTTTGACCAGCATTTGACATGTAACCATGTTCATTCTACATGCATTGCAAATAGACGAAGGAAAGTTTGCAAATGAAGTGTAGCTGCAGTTTCCAAATGCATGCTTCATGTTTAAGTCCTTCAGTGTCCTGGTGTTCAGCAGATGTGGATCCAGGACTTTTACCTCTCAAATTATTGCTGATTCTGCCACTGTGGACCTTGCTGTAACCATTTTACAGTTGTATTGAACTTCCAGGGAAATTTAAGTGATGCCAGGAATGCAACTCGTGGTGAACACGAGCTGTATTGAGCTTCAGCTAGTTGCCAGGTAATCCCACCTCTGAGCCTTTTGATCTCCTTTCACCTTGCTCTGCCCCAGCAGCTCATTTTCACCCATTGCCGTCTGACCTCCATGTGGAGATTGCCATGTTGTACTTTGCCTCCAATTATCCTTGCTGCTGTCTGAATTCCAGCATCACACCTTAATCATGCCCATCGTACTCCTCTACACAACTCCTTTAGAGGCCACAGTGGCAGTCACTGCCAAACCTCCCCCTCACATTAACATAGGCAACAATGCCCTCTGATGCTGTTCTGCATAATCCCCGTACACCTTGAATTTTCTCCCTGTCACTGTACTTGCCCTCACCACCATAAATGCCTCTGCTACCACCCCAGACTTGACTTACCCACCCCTTTCGACAGTGACCCCTTGTCTGCCCCTATGCTACCCCATGCCCTTTTGATCAATCAATGGACAGAGGCCAGGACTGACCACTGCCTTTACAGCTCTCTGACTGATAATACCTGACTCTGCTCACTGCTGCTGATGCTGATCCTACAGATCATTGGCAGCCTTGGATTCCAATTGGACAGATTTCCTGACCATGAGCACCCCATGCTGATGACTGACTGAAAGCAGCCAAGGCCCTGATTCTGTGTGCACTGTGCCTCTAACAGACGGTATTGAACCCCCAACTGACTGTAGGCCCCCCACTGCTTGACTGGACTGAAGACTGGCCCCTGCCCACTTTCCAACATGGCCATTTTGTTGAAGAAACATGCGGTGTATCTGCCGCACAGGCACCTGGCACTTGCTGTAGGTGTTAGATTGATGTCTCGGTAGCCATACAACAATAATGTTGCCCTCTCCAGACAGACCCCTGCTGACAACCAGCCTACTTGTTTCTGCATGAAAGAGCATACAGTAGGACAGATAGCCAAAAGCTCAAGATAAAGTGCCAACACACTAACAGGCATGACAAGGCAATGCAAGGCATGGATACATTGAGCATGCAGATAGGCACTAGGTGAGCGAGCAGTAAGACAGAAAGCAAGCTACCCTCAGCTGCAGTCTGGTCCACACTGTGAGGTGGCTGCCTGTCCCTGCACACAGTGTTCCTGCTACAACCTTTCTATGCTTGTGGCAGGTGTGAGTGGTTGGTGAGGTGCTGTGATGGTTGGTAAATGTCAGGATGTTAATACATGTAGATGAAGGGTGCATGGGACACATGGCCATTGCTCATGGCCTGAGATGCTGTTTGGTGCTGACCAACATGGAGGCTCCTTGCAGCCAGCATTGAGCTGAAGGCACCAGGCACCTGCTCTGACTTCGACATCAGGAGCTGTCAAAGTTCAGCGTGGTTGGTAAAGCAAGAAGGTGAATATTAATTAGGTCAGTTGTGGCAGTAGTAAGGCTTTTAGCAAATAGTAATTCCCCATAATTGGCAATTTGTTGCATTCTAGCTCACCATTTGGCAAATGCATGAAAGATGCAGCGAGTTGCTCCTGACATCCAGATGGGCTCGTTAGACTTATTGCCTGACACGACCACAGATTTTGCCATAACCCACGTTGCTCAGAACCCTATAAGGTACTGCCCACAGTATCCAATATTGGATGTGATTTTACAATTGGACAGCATTTGCTAAATAATCTTGATTGTTCTAACAGCCTCACGCTGTGACTCACTTGCACATTGGAAGCTACGTATTTTAAAATAGCTCCCTGTTCTTTGCAGATAGAAAGACCATGTAGACAACAATTCTCTCATTAGGACACTGTTCTGATGAATTAACCAATCAGAGTCAATCTGCAGATTTAAATTATAAACAAAACCTGCAAGTTAACTGCCAGTCATCATCCAACTGGTACATTCTCTGTGACCTTGCCTCTACCAATTAGAGTCCACTTATTAATCAATCAGCATACCCTAAAATTACAATTTAAAGATGCTGTTTCACTTTGTACTGGAATTCTTGTGATTTGTCCTGATGAGTGCAAGTTGAAGTGTTTTGACAAAATGTGCCTTTTTTCACCAATACTCAAGTTGATCTTCTCTTGTTTCATATTTCCGTTAACCTTGAATTTATTACAAAAGACATAAACTATAAATACTTCTGCTGGTCATTTGGAATTTATCTACCATCTTATAGCCAATGCATTATTTTAATTAATTTGTGGGATGTGATTGTTAATGGCAAGGCAACCATTTGTTGCCTACCTCCATTTGTCCTTGAGAAACTTAAATTGGATAATGCACCCAAAGGATATAATTTCTACACCTCAGGAACATGTTCATAAACATTTGTAGGACTGTGCTGCTTGCTGTCAATTTCTGAAATTTTATGGCTAATGTTTGTAGCATAACACGTATAATTCTTCTGGCCTGTGCATGTATCTAGTTTCATGCTGATGCTGTGGAATCGTCTGAGTTGTTTCTATTTTTATAGCAATCTTCAGTGCTTCCTTTAGTAAATGAAAGCTATTTCACTTTGCAGGACAATCAGTAAATGAAATAAATGAGTCTAGTATCTAATATCTTTTCCTGCAATTGCTGGGAAATTAGTCCTTTTGACATGTTAAAAAAAAAACCATTGGGATACGATCTTCCACCTCAGAATAGCAGATTAGTATATATGTCAAACCGGGATTTAGATTAATTTTGGTAGCTGTAACCCAAATAACTAATATAAATTCTGATTACTTCCCATGAAATCTCCAAATATACAGAGTATGGTGCATAGTGACACTGATTTGTTTTAATTACAGGTTGGAGAACACTGTTATTACCATGGCAAAATCCAAGGAAATCCAAAATCTTCTGTGGCCCTTTCAACATGTTATGGACTACAGTAAGTGGCATACCATTTAGAAATATCACATTTAATGCTTTTTTAAATTGCTTGGCTCTAATTTCATTCTGGAATCTGTAGAAAATATAACAGGGAATCCGTCAGGTTTTGGGATCTGTGGGAGTACCATTTATAAAATGTGTTGCATATATTGGTACGGAGGCTCAGTGCTTACCACTGCTGCCTCACAGCACTAGGCACCCAGGTTCAATTCCACCCTCGGGCAGCTGTCTGTATGGAGTTTGCACATTTTTCCTGTGTCTGCGTGGGTTTCCTCCAGGTGCTTCAGTTTCCTCCCACAAAGCAAAGATGTGCAGGCTTGGTGGATTGCCATTGCAAATTGCCTATAGTGTCCAGGGATGTGCAGGCTAGGTGGATGAGCCATGGGAAATGCAGGGTTACAGGGATAGGGTATGGTGGGATGAGTCTGGGTGAGATGCTGTTTGGAGTGTTGGTGTGGACTTGATAGGCCAAACGGCCAGCTTCCACACTGTAGGGATTCTATATCAAGATTTTACTCATCGGACACAGTGCACATGAGGGATGGGGAGTGGTTCTGGTTCTTGAATTCTACTGTGTTGAACTCAGAGGCTGTTAAAGTTATTTGGTTTTATCCTTGCTTCTATTTTCCTTAAGTATTTAGATGGATGTGGGAGATAACTTTGATGCTACTCAACTTACATAGATATCCTGGAGGAGGGAGTGGATATTTCTTGGGAAAAATAGTCTAGTATAGTTACTTTCTAACTCAGAGGAAATTTTTCTGAATGAAGCAAGCGTATGAAAATTTCAAGTAAATCATATGAATTTAGTTCCCTGTTTTTAAGGCACATTCATGTTATTTAGCATTAAGTCCATTGTAGGAATGGATAATCATTTCAAAACCATTTCAGTTGTTTTTGCTTGCCCATGTTGAAATGCTGAGAGATCTGTGAACGTTTTGGAGGCACAATTCTAATCACTCTGTTTTAAGAAAAATTACTTTA